AAGAGTCGCGCTGCTGCTGCTGCTGCTGCTGCTGCTGCTGCTGCTGCTGTTGCTGCTGTTGCAGTAATGGGGGCATCATAGAGTAGAGAACTGTGTTGAGATGTGTGAGAAATAGACTTTTAAATAATTAAATTAAAATAAATAAATAAATTAAATAAAAATAATAAACACAAACACAAAGAGCTGGGGTGTATGTGCTTGCCTCGGGTGTCGTCCGTCGTCGGCCGTGGGTGGTGTGGCTGTACACCTGGGGTGTATAGGCAGCTCCCCCTGCTGCTGCTGCTGCTTTTCAACAAACAAATGACAAAAAAATATCTTTTTCTCCGCACATCTACAAAATACTTGAAAAAAAAACAACACAAACACACACAGCCCTGAAGCAGCAGCAGCAGCAGCAGCAGCAGCAGCAGCAGCAGCAGCAGCAGCAGCAGCCAGCTACTGCAGCAGGGGGCCCTCCGTCATACAGCCCTAGCGCAGAAGCAGCAGCAGCAGCAGCAGCAGCAGCAGCAGCAGCAGCAGCAGAAGCAGCAGCAGAAAATATTTGTTTTGTCTTTTCATTCATTTCTTATTTATTTATGTTTTTATAAACCCTAAACCCTCCATTTAACATTCATAAACAACCCCCCTGCTCCGCCCGCCGATCCGAGGGTTTAGGGTTTAGGGTTTAGGGTTTAGGGTTTAGGGTTTTATATCAAACACCTAGTAACGGCTAGCCAGGCACCCAAAACCCCTGAGCTTGAGGGGCAAGCTCTACGCAGACCCCCAGGGTCTAGGGTTTAGGGTTTAGGGTTTAGGGTTTAGGGTTTAGGGTTTAGGGTTTAGGGTTTAGGGCTTAAAGCCCCCAACGAATGCTCGTGGGCGTCAGCAGTCCCGAGGGGCTTCGCCCAGGGAGCTTGTGAACCCTCAGGGTTTAGGGTCTAGGGTTTAGGGTTTAGGGTTTAGGGTCTAGGGTTTAGGGTTTAGGGTTTAGGGTCTAGGGTTTAGGGTTTAGGGTTTAGGGTTTTCCGCGATGCCCTGTGAAAAGTGCGAAGCGAAATTCACCAAGCTCGTGACGCCCGACGTTAAAGAAGGTGAGGGTTTAGGGTTTAGGGTTTAGGGTTTAGGGTTTGTGCGTGTCTGTGGATGAGGGTTTAGGGTTTGAGGGTTTAGGGTTTAGGGTTTAGGGTTTAGGGTTTGTGTTCTTTGCGATGCAGGATCAAAGCGAATTGTCGGCGTCAACAAACTCATCGAGAAAACTACAAAAAAAGACAAGTACGCCAGGATGAGGGTTTAGGGTTTAGGGTTTAGGGTTTAGGGTTTGGCTGTGCGAGGTTAGGGTTCTAGGGTTTAGCCAGGTGGTAGTAGTGAGCACCCTAAACCCTAAACCCTAAACCCTGAGATAGTTATACTGAAACTGATGAAGCTAGTGTTCAGGGTCTAGGGTTTAGGGTTTAAGCTTGAGGGTTTAGGGTTTAGGGTTTAGGGTTTAGGGTTTGTGGTTTCAGATTAGTGATTGTTGGATCGAAGTGTAAAATATGCAAAACCGCGCTGCATATGAAGGGCAAGTACTGCGCCCCTTGGTGAGTTGAGGGTTTAGGGTTTAGGGTTTAGGGTTTAGGGTTTGGGGTTGGGTGTTTTTTTTGAGGGAGAAGCGGAACAAATATTTAGGGTTTAGGGTTTAGGGTTTAGGGTTTGTTGTGCTGATAAGATCAAGGGTTTACGACGCACAGAGAGCTAGCTCGTGCTCTCTCTGTCTGGGGAATTAGGGTTTAGGGTTTAGGGTTTAGGGTTTAGGGTTTGTGTGCAGCGCTCATAAGAACGGCCGCTGCTGGATGTGCGGCAAGCGTATAGTAGATGTATCGAAGCACATCATGAGCATGGTCTAAACCCTAAACCCTAAACCCTAAACCCTAAACCCTTCTTTCTAGACCCTAAACCCTTGTCTAAACCCTAAACCCTTGTCTAAACCCTAAACCCTCGTTTCTTAGCTTTCATTTCAACCCAGAAACTTTTTCTTTTCTAACGACGGTCAATGTCTATAAAGCTGCAAACGACCTCTTCTAGGGTTTAGGGTTTAGGGTTTAGGGTTTAGGGTTTACCTTCGCGTACTGCGCGCTGCGCGTAATCAGCGGTTTAGGGTTTAGGGTTTAGGGTTTAGGGTTTCTGCTGGTTTGCATAGATGTCTAGCAACAGGAGTTGGGGTTTCAGCGTTCGCAGAGTCTGCGTTAGGGTTTAGGGTTTAGGGTTTAGGGTTTAGGGTTTAGATGGGGCGTAACAGGCTCAGGTCTTTGTTGACGTGAGATAGGGTTTAGGGTTTATGGTTTAGCTTATAGGGGGGAGCGCAGACAAACCCTAAACCCTAAACCCTGCTGTAGCTATAGAGTACCACAGAGTTTAAGGGTTTAGGGTTTAGGGTTTAGGGTTTAGGGTTTAGTTCAATTGGGGTTAGCAGCGCTTCTATGGAGAGCGATACGGCCGTTTGCGGTGGTTTATAGAGAGTCTAGGGTTTAGGGTTTATCTGAGAGGTGTTTCTAGGGTTTAGGGTTTAGGGTTTAGGGTTTAGCTGCGACGTGATGATGGGGTTTAGGGTTTAGGGTTTAGCGGAGGTTTCTTTTGTATGGGGGGAGCACACCAACCCGAGGGTTTTCATTGTCTATACACTCGAAAACCCTAGGGTTTTAGCCAGCTGTAAACC